CCTCTGGGAGTTGATTAGTAGAATAAAATGAGGTCATGAGAGTAGAGCCCTCATGAATGGGATTAGTTCCCTTATAAAGGGCCCCAGAGTGCTTGCTTCTCTCTGCTCTCTGGCCCATGAAGATAGTGGGAAGACAGCCATCTTCAAGCCATGAAGGCAATCCTCTCCCAGATACATTGACCTTGAAAGCCTCAGCCTCCAAAACTTAAGGAATATGCTGGTTGTTTAAGCCACCTGAACCATGGTAAATTCTTACAGCATTCCAGACTGATGAAGACAGTGGAGAATGCCTCTGAGTTTGGCACTGATTGCCTGGAGAATGCTGAAACCCAGGGAAGTGGGCAGCACAGACATTTACTCATTTAATTCTGTCAACACAGTAGGAGAGTCTACATATTCCTCATTACTTAAAACGTATGGAAAAAGAGGCACAAACAGCAACAACAACAACAAAAACAACAATAATAATTTGTCCAAGATTCACACAGAAACCCCTGGAGGCAGAGTGAGAATTTATACTTAGGCATGCTGGCAACAGAGCCCCTGCTCATAACTACTAAGTCAGATCACCTTGCTTATGTGGATCAATTTTTTTCAAGTGTGATATGAGGGTACTGTGTCCAGTAACTTATAATTTCAAAGTACCTCACTGTTAGGGAATCATTACTCACAGGCATTACAAACCTCAGAAAGCTAGACATACAAAAATAACTCGTTAGGGCAAGATAACCAATAATGTTTTTAAACATTATACTTGCTGAATCTTTGCAATAAAATGTGTATTTATAATTCTGTCTGGCTAAAGAATAACTTCATAATCCTGCATGTGACTGGTGGCTCCCATGGCAGACAGCATGGGCCTACAGAATTTTAAGTGACTTGCCCAGCCTCACCCGGGAAGCTCATGGTGGGATCAGAGCTATAGTCTGGGACTTTTCCTTCCTATCCAACAAGTCCCTCATGGAGGTTTAGAAGCTTATCCTTTGGTGCCCAGCTGTCTATCCGTAATTATGACATCTTGTTAGGTGTCCCAGCCTGCTCCTGAACATCAGCCAGTACCCACTTCTGCTCTTTCCTGGCCCAGTAATAGCTTCTAGCAACTTCCATTGCCTTCTTGGCATCAGTTCTTACCTGGAAGGGTAGTGGCTAGAGATGCAAATGTTTCCACGTGACAGGTTTTTCATAAATATAACAGGAGTGGTCAAAAGAACAAAACGTCAGGAAGACGAGTGGAAGCAGGTCATTTAATATACCAAATGGGTACTTTCAATGTATGTTTGTGTTTCCGAGTCCAGACTTGTTCTGCTCATGCATTACAGGCTAATAAATCAGTAGATCAGTTTTTGGGACAAGAAATAGCAAATTTAATTTGGAAATCCAGCTGAGAAGATGGTAGACTAATGTCCTGGAGAACCATCTCTCAAGTCAGAATTCAGGCTCTTTTTATATTAAAAAGGGGAACGGGAATGCTTGGTTGTTGCAAACTTGGTGTATGAATTCTTTGCTGTTAGAATCCTTTGCTCTTGCAGCTCTTCACCTGGGTCAGATCCGTGTAAAGCTCCAACAAACAAATGTTATTTTCTAATCTGTAACTGGTTATCTTTACATGAATGGAAAAGTGTTAATATCCTTCAAAGTCAGAGCCTTGAGAATAGGGTCTCCTGTATATTTCAGGCTCTAGGCAACACTGTTTTACAAAAGGTGCAGAACCAACAAGACTAAACCTAGGAAACAGGGCATAGGCTTAAAGTCATAGGAACAGATCTAATATGGAGTCAGATTTGTTCTTTCCTATTACAGTATTGCCATGGAGAAGGCACTTTGGGCAGCTTTTTGTAGGGTCCTGGAGGCTTTCTCTCTCAACCTCTGGGCGCCTCTATTGAAAACCCTTCATAGCTGTCTGGCCTGCTGGAAAACCACTCCGCCTCTTTTGCCCTGAAGATGTATTCTGTTTATAACTCATCTCTACTCTTTGGAAAACAAGTCAATAAAAACTCAGTTGCTTTTCCACCAGCCCTGGGCAGGGGTGAGGGATAGCATGTTATTATTTTATAAAAAAAAAAAGAAAAGATAATAATAATAATAATAATAATAATAATAATAATAATAATAATAATAATAAAAGAAGTCTTAAAACAGCACTGGGCACATAGGATAGAGTCAATAAATGCTTCCTGGCTTAAATCCAAAGTGATGGCTCAGTCATTCCATGGCTGCTCTATTTGCTGAGCTAGTTATTCCTTTGCTCCATTATACCTTTTTTTTTAACTGAAAAATAAATACATGCATATGGTTAAAAAAAATTTAAACAGAGCACAAAAATACACAAGTGAATGAAGTTTTCCCTCATCCTCTTTTCTTTCAGCCCTCCGTGGAGATGACACTGTTTACTATCCTTTGTTTGCTTTTCCAGATATGCTATGCACATTCCCACCTATGTATGTAAATTCCTTTAAAGTTTTACTTATTTTTAACTTAAAGGGATTAATCCTCAAGTGGTCTTCTGCCCCAGTAATAGAAAAGAACAAATCTGACTCCACATTAGATCTGTTCCTTTGACTTTAACCCTGTGCTCTGTCTCCTAGGCTTCATCTTGCTTGTAAAACAATGTTGCCTAGAGCCTGAAATATACAGGAGAGCCTATTCTGAAGGCTCTGACCTTTAAGGATATTTAACACTTTTTCATTCATAAAAAGATAACAAGTTGCAGAATAGAAAATAATGTTTGTTTTGTTGGAGGTTTACAGAGATTTGACCCAGGCAGATAGCTGCAAGAACAAAGGATTCTAACAACAAAGAATTCCTACACCAAGAAGTTTGCAACAACCAAGCACGTAGGAAAGGAGCCTGAATTCTGACTTGGGGAGATGGTTTTCCAGGACATTAGTTTACCATCTAGGTCTACAGAAACTTGCTATTCCATGCCCCAACACCAGGTCTCCCAACTTATTGGCCTGTCCTGCACTGAGGAGAATGAATTTGGACTCGGTAACACCCCTATCTACCTAGCAAGCTGGGCACTGGAACTGAGGCCAGCTCTCCTACTCCCAGGGACATACTGTGAGCCCTTGATGGTTCCCCTAGGGTGGGGTGTGGTTTACTCAGGAAGGGTTGGGACTATGCACCAACACTCAGGCAGTCTGCTCTGTCTGGGGCTCTGACCTTGTACCTCCCACTCCCCGCCAGCCCAACACCTGGGACAGTGGAGCTAAGGCAGAGATCGTGCCTGTCTGTTTCCCAGTCTGTAAAAAGGGGAATATGTACTCTTCCCAAGGTAGTTCTGAGCAACAACACCTGCAGGTGCTAGGTTCCCGGAGCACCAGGAAACCCAGTTCCACGTGGGGGCAACGGGTGTGATACCCTTAGGGGTACTGCAGAGGCCTCAGCTGGAGGGCTGGACAAGGGAGGTAAAATCTGAGCTGTGGGCCTTGAAGGGTTAGAGAAAGGTACAGAGACAGGACTGCAGCCTCCTTTGGGGTCCCCCCAGAGGTAAAGCTTTTTCTCTCCATCTCTGCTACTCCCCTCTTCCCTCTAGATTCCTCCCTTCTCTCTGCTCCTCTTGTCCATCAGTCTCCCTCCACTTTTCCCCTCCTTCTCTCCTCCTCCCATCTTCTCCTTCCCTTGCTTCCCCAGCTTCTCTCGCAGAACCCAGAGAGGATCGCTGGCCCTCCTGCACATGCGCAGTCGGTGCCAGCAGGACCGCAGGTTGGAAGCTCCAGCTCCAAGCCAGGATTGGTCCCAAAGTCTTCTCAGCTCTGTTGCCCGGTAGGCCTTTGACTCCTGCCCGGGGCTCGGGCCTCCGGCTGTGGAAGTGCAAGGTAGGAGGCTCACGGGAAAGGGGTCAGGCGGCTGCGGGAGGGCGGTCCGTGTGTCACAGCCCGTGAGGGTGCGAGTCAGCGTGTGTTCAGCTGAGGGGCTCGGGCCAGCTCCCTCTGCCCGCGTCACCTGCCCCAGTGTCCCGGCCACAGCTGTCCAGGGCCAGATGTGCACCTGCCGTATCTCGCCCCAGCTGGGCTCCCCTCAGTCCGCGGCTGGCGTCCCCTTCCCTCTCCTGCCCGCAAGTCCTCTCCTCGGCCACCAACCCATACCCGCCCCTGGGCGGGCTGTGTCCCTGGCTGGCGGGGTCTGCAGACCCAGATGGGGGTGGGCGGCTGGGTCAGGGGCTGGCCTTGGAGTGGGGCTGCAACCCTCATACACCCCCCTGGCCCCATGCTTTCCCTGCCCCGTGACCCCAGGGCTGCCCTCCTCTCCCTTTCCCATTCCCTGAGGACCAGCTCAGTGGCGTGGGAGCTGCTCCCCAGGCTGAGAGCCTTCGGCTGTAAAGCCCAGCTTCTCCTGGTGGAGTCAGGAAAAAGGAGTTCCAGTGCTGAGCGAGCTTCTGTTTCCTCCCTCAGTGTTTCTGCCCCAGGTAAGTACCTTGAACACTTTCAGGTGTTATGATGGCGGTGCTTGTTCATGTCACGTGTTTTTATAGTGAGAGTGATTACAGTGTTGAAAGCAGGGCTTGGTTTATTTAAAAATGAGCTGAAGGCATGAGGTTGTGACTTCCTCCATCCTTCCCTCTCCCAGGGTGAAACGTGTGACTGTTGATTTTAAAAAGATAGTTACAGTCCCCACCTAGTTCAGCCCAGATAGTGTGTTAACAGGAACAGCACCACCAGAGGCATTGGAGACTCAGGGACATTGCAGTCCTATAGAGCTCCTGGCAAAGTTTGGTTTGTTTGGATTTTTTTGTTTTTCTTAAATTGTTGGGCACACTAGTTGTATAGAGGGAAAAATAATTGTCAAGAAATATTTTTTCATATAACAACTTTATTGTGATATTGTTCACAAACCATGAATTCCACCCATTTAAATGGTACAATTCACCTGCTTTTAGCATATTCACAGTGGTGCAACAATTATTAGTCCAGAACATTTTCATCACTTCAGAAAGAACAGTGGTAATAAATGACCTATCCACCCCTCCCCAGTGGTGGTTCTAAAGAAGTTTCTTGGCTGTTCCTGACCATAAATTAACTTATTACATTCCACGAAAAATCTGGTAGGAATTCTAATCAGAATTGCATTGAATCTTTCTATCAAAACAGGAAGAATTAATGTTTTTATGGCATAAAATTTTCTACCCATGAATATATCTGGGACCCTATCTTTTCATCTGTCCAGACTCGGGCCCATGGGAAGTCCTCATTAATTGTTGGGTTTGTGAATGATGAGATTCTATACATCATTAGTTGCAACTGTAGCCTTTCACAGAAGAGAAAAGTAACCTCAGTGAAGCCAAGTGACTCTCTGATGGTCAGAAAGAGTGACAGCCAGTGCTGGAGTAATCCAGTGGACTTGGTGCTTGCAACCAGAGTTCTCCACCACCTACAACTAAGGGGATTAC